GTCAAATTAGTTTTGTTTCTTTAAGGATGATATACAAGGTGGTAAATTTCCTTTAAAACATATCATAAAAGATGAGTTCCTATGCTTTGTTCCATAAGAAGTATCTTTCTGTTCATCTTCACAAGAACCGTAATTCTCCAAGTAGCCCATATGGACAGAACATGCGTTATCTGGTCTGAGTTTATAGTCAGTGTAATTCCAGTACATTTGATATGTTTGTGTTTAGTCTAACATTTTTCCCCATAGGCATAATTCAGAAAAATGAAGCAGGAGACGTTGCATCGAGGCTTGCTGAAGCTGTTTTCTATAGTGGACTTGGATGGTGACAACCGTGTTTCCTACAACGAATTGAACCTTGGTTTCGAAAGATTTGGTTTTACTGAAAGTGAATGCTCCGTACGTGAATTCATCGTGACAATTCTGCATCGTTTTTATTATATTATGAACAATGTATTATGTAAATTATATATTAAATAATACGCTCAGCGTTCCTGTAGAATTAGCAGTCGAAATAAATGCGAATCAGGGAGGAGCTGATTCTTAATGGAGAAGGCCTAATCACTGAACATGTTTTAAGTGGCTATTCTTCGGATTAATCCCAACTGGTGAAGGAATCCACACTAAATGCTTCCCTATTGGGTCTTCCACGGTTTACATGAGCATAGTGTTCACACATGAAGAGATACAAATCGATAGATTCGGGACAAATTTGGCAGAAGATATTAATCAGTGCAGTATGTTTACTAGTGTTGACAGTGATGATGCGTTACTTCTGAAGTTTTATGGTGCACCTTACCCAACATAACAGCTTGTTTTTATTCCTAGCGTATTCCGGTGTGAACATAACCAGAGAAGTATGCGGCTGCTGCGAGGATATGATGCTAGGCTGAGTTTCTTGAGATGGGTCCGAAATAATGCGAAAGTATCCATATGTCCAACTTATGACTAAATATACTTTCGAGATGCTTCAGGGGTGCACAGAAATTGAACTATACCAAAGAGTTGAATCCCTCGCAATACATTTTAACTGCATACACGTCCATCTTCATACCTCTGTCAACGATGTTTTGGATTCTTTTATGGCTATCACAAAAATACGTTTTGAAGACTTCAGGGATCACATATTGTTCCATAGTTCTAAATGCGAACCAGCCTTGGGGAGGCGGAGAACTAGTTGCACTAAGACCGGGTTTCCATTTTATGCTGTCCATTCCGTACAGAGACATGTAGGAACTTGGAATACACAGGATTTATCTCAACCATAATATTCCTCTCTTCATTGAATGACGATTTGTTTCTTTACCACGTGAAAAATAGTTTAGTCGGTAACAGAGGTTACCATACTATACTTCCTCCCAGGCGCTTCTCAACTGGACAATGTATTCAAGTCATGTATCGGAATGGGCTAGACTCACAAAGTCTAATAGGGTTGTACCTATCTGGATTCCGATCCCTTTGACCAGCAGAACTAAGGGAGCTATTTTTCGTTTACTCTTTATTGGTTCTAAAGCAAGCGTTTTCAACAAAGTGCCTCCGCAGCCAGACTATGAACGAATACAAAGCAACTGTGTGTCCCAAGCCCTGCAGCAAGTCGGTAGAATTCCACTAATCGAACCTTCTTTTCCGCGATTTGTGTATCCTGCATAGGGGACTTAAATGGCAAACACAATCCACAACTCAGTATGAAAACATTCGACAGTCCAGCAGCGTATGATCACGCGTCAATTTTTACTCCCGGAGAGTTTTTCTATGGTGAGACAAACTGTTTATTAAACTGGAATGTCATGCAGATTGTCAGCAACACACTGGCTTAGGCTATTTACATCATCATACCCGATCTGATGACTATTAGGGTGTGATGACGGAATTTCACTCTACGGCTTTCATCATTGTCCTTCCTGAATCTTCTTCATAAGCTTTTATTCACCACACGTAGCTGGCTCGTAACTAGTAAGGCCCTGTTTTTCAAGCAAACTAATGTTAGAATCCACGTCCCCCTGTCTCAGTTACCCTAACTTCATAGATGAACTGTTTAGCGGAAAGTGCCTTTAGAGCAAAGACGAATGCTTTTTATTTATAAGAATAAATCTTGGGTGAGTTTGCCTGACTCGCCATACACGGTAATGATTTTCCATTTTTCCATCATATATATTTGGACAGAAATTCATGCGAATGTTTGACAAGGACAGCGACGGTTACCTAACACTGGGGGAATACAAGGCCGCATTTGGAATCCCAGAGGACCTGCAAGAAGAGTACGTTTTACAATACACTGTCATACTTTTGAAATAATTGCTTCTACTAATCATTTTTACCTACTCTCCTCTGCTTAGCGCTACCTTCGATCTTCACAACCCGCAAATCCAGAAGCAATATGCAGTTTCATTACTCTTTAGTAGGCTGAGTTGCAGAAGCTGTCTGCCCGCCACAAGGCTCACTTTATGTTCTGGCCAGTGTACACCAGCGAAGAATACACAAGAGTAGATTTTGAATTTTCAGGAGTTAATAAATTTTGCATGACTTTGTTTGCGTCATAAGTGTAACTTCGGTAAACATCCTCATGGGAGGAGTTTGCCGCAAGTTATCAACCAGCTTACGCGCAACGTTCGGCGATCCGGCGTCAATGAAGGCCTAAGTGAATTTTCCGGAGTTTTCTGATGTGCGTCAAAATTCTCCAAATAAGAAGCCCATACTGGACTTGTTCGTAGGTTGCATACAATGTGTCCCGGGAATCCTCACTTTGACAGTCCCTAGCCCTCCTTTTTCATTGATAATTTAATGGCTCATATTGCTCAGGCGAAAAAGGGACTTCGTTATATTGCATTCCACGGTGAATGCCTTGTAGATAATTTCGGCAGCCTATTTAGATGTGTATATCGTTCAAAACTAATAAAGAAGTCTAACACTGTAGTTTGGTGGGGAGAAGATAAGGTCAGCCTAAGTAACACTGGTAAAATGGCATTTATGCAATAGAAAAGCTGGACTCGAAAATTGTTCAATATACTGGACACCAGGTTGGGGAAATGTCGACTTTCACTTGTCGGAGGAAAGGTCCGGTAGTATCCAAATTCGACAACGAACGCATGCACACCTGTGATACAAGTAGGCGTATTACACAGTTTTGGATAAAATTTCACTGAAAATCAAATAATTGGTACATATTTACATCTGGCGTGAAATGAGGATTGTTGTGTCAGCTAGCCACACGCGTTTTCGTCATGATACGCAGCAACTCAGTTATGATCGACGTATTTAGAAGGCAGAGGAGTCAGCTATTTTAACACGTGAGAAAAGTAATTAGTGGAACCACTGCTGTGTATTTTACCCACTCCACGTGAGTATAAAATTCACCTGCCTTGCGAAATGGAATGAGCTATACCATATGGTTGGCTGATGCAGACCAGAGTAACGCCTTGTTTCTCAGGCATTCGTGAGGCCAACGTCTGTTTGACAGATTAGGATCTCCACACTACCCATAAATTACAATCAAGCTACTTGGAAATAAAATAGTTAACCACAAATTCTCATGGTCCTTCTAACATGCAATCATTACTCAGTTTTGTGTTTTGTTTAAGTGAGAAACTGTCACTGTGGGTTGTCCAAGTACGCGTTAGTTGTGTAACTGCCAATCAGCAGTCGCAATCAGGTGCTAAATATTTCATATACATTAACCAGCAGATATTCGTTGACTCGAATCAGGAGAAAAATCTTACTGAACTACCCGTCGCCAAAGTTTTTTTTTCCACTTTTCGCCAAAGAACATAGAAGATATAACTGCTAGTGTGGATCGACATTCTGAGGAAATGAAGAAAAATTACTTAATGAATAAACATGAGAATACTTGGGTTTTGGAAGCCAACGTAAGCAACAGAAGTGATTCTGCATCACCTCCCCGGAACTTTGTTTAATTTACCGATTATTAGTGCGCCGTGTAGCGGAATGGGTTGACAGATCGACTGGTAGTTGTGCTCAAGCTACCTTTTCGCTTTTCCTTCACTATTCTTCTTGAATGCTCACTTTATGAATTGTGAGGAGGCGCAATCGCTTGCTTGTTCGTAATTTTGATTACCTCTATTTAGGGCAAACATACCGCAAGCAAATACTTTAACCACATAAACTCAATAGCTCAGTCTTTGGAGAAAGAGAACTTCGAAACAACGGATTACGGAGTATTTTACACCTGAAAAATTACAGCCAATAGTTCATGAATCTTTTGTGTCTTACTCGCGGT